TGTAGCCAAAGATGTACCTTAAAATATTTATTAATCTTCATTTTAATAATGTTAATCAAATTACCCCATACCATCAGTCATTTTACCCCGGTCCCGGGGCTAGTTAAATCAGATGGAATGCATTAGAAAAATGCATTTTTTTTCATAGTAATTATCAGTTTTCCCTTATTATTAAAATATTATTAGATAGTCAAATGTATGTAGTAACTGGCGTAGAATTCATTTTTTCGATAAGTCTCTTAATTTCGTCTATAAAAATTCGAAACTAAAAAATGAGTCTACTATCCCCGGTCTCCCCTACAATAAAAATAGATAAAATATGTAAATATTGTGCACGTGTGGGCAAAATATGCAAAAATATGCTTTTATGTGTGAAATAGGCAAAACTATCTTATTTATGAAATATGAAAAATATGCTGTAACATGTAGGGCTCAAAATGCATAATTTCTTATGAAACAAATTTATATTTAGTTTATTTCTTTATTAGTCAAATAAAAAAAAACATGCCCTGTACATATTTGGGGGGGGGGTCCTACTTATAAGTTTATTTTTAAATAACAAATGGCGTCATGATGACCTATATCGTTATGACTTATAGTGCTTTCCAACAACGTACGGATGTTTTCTAAAACCGTTAAAAAGCGCCAATTTTGACAAAATTAACTTAAATTTAAATAAAAATCATAAATCTATTATTGATACGCTAAATATAATCATAAGAATAAGAATGGAAGATTACACAGTAAAAAAGTTTGTGTATTTGTGTTGGAAACGGTCCATTCACGTTTGTGTTAAATTTTTAACAGTTTGTGTTAAAGTTAACATATTCGAGTGTTAATTTGACATAATGTTATTTAAAGATTTTCTGTGAAATTGATATTCAATGTTTTTTAATGTTAAAATGATACAATTTGTGAGTAAGTGAACAAGTAACATAAAAATAATGTGTTTTCAAACGTAAATTCTAAGATAAGACAAATGAATGAAATATGTGTTAATTTAACATATCATAAATGTTAATTTTCTGAAAAAAAATATGTTCCCATGGTTTGTTTATGAACTGTATCGATGTTATCTTACTTTGTATTTATTCTCTTACATAATATTTGTATTACTTTCTAACATATTCATCTTGTGTAAAATAACTCAAAAATTTAAGTGAGGACATGCGATTTATGTTAAATTCAACACATTTTTTCCAACTGTGTACAATGCATTCTGGTGTTACATTATGAAACTAAACTGCGTTCCAAGTATCTTACAGTGGAACACAGTGTAATGTTTTGTGTCTTATCTGAAAAACAGCCAACATTTTCGGCCCGATTGGGTTTGCACCAATCTGGATTGGAAAATGCTTTGCTATTGGTTGACATTGCATGCTCTACCAATAGAAGAGCACGAACCGTCATTAATTCAACCCAGATTGGGAGCAAAAAAATTGTCAAATAACTCTAACCAGAGTAGATGTCATATAATTGCAAATTTGGTCGGGCCGAAAACGTCATTAATTATGACTCTGTATTCTACTTGGGAGTATATCTAGATTGGTTTGAGGGAATGCATTTTAATCTGGATACTAGTAGCAGATCATAGGCTATCATTATCGAACCATAACTTTTTCAAAATAGATTTATGTTGGACTTATACTTCTTTCCAATTTGCTCCCCCCATCACAATGGCAGGTGCCATTTTTTCTCGCTCTTTTCCCAACTTCATTGATTACAAAATAATCAAATCAATCAAATATTTTAAATCGTTGGAAATTTTATGTTCGATACAAACTGCATCCTTAGCAAAATAGCATTATCGCAGCATTTACACATAAGCAGTAGCATAATTTTTCATAGCCCAATCACTAACTCGTCTAATTACTTATCATAAGCTAATTTATTTACTAATTAGACTTTATTCTTACCATCATCATTTATTTTGCCATTCACCAAGTCGCTCTCATAGATTTTACTGCGCATCTAGAGTTATCATATCTGAATCACAACAAAAGATTACATAAGTACACTTTTTTAAAAAATATGATCTAGAAGCGAGGGGGTATAACTTTTT